AACACAGGCTGGTGCATATTAGAAATCTACAGGGACCCAGGAATGACCAGGATGTGAGAGACACAGGCCATACAATGGCACCGTCTCTTTGGTGAGCCTGAGATAGGAGTAGTCTCACACGGAAATCTCTGGAACCCAGCCACTGTCAGAGTGCTGGGAAGGCAGGGAGGAGCATGACTCAGCCACACACAGCCCTGGGTCACTTCCTGACCCGGTTCACCAGTCATTTCCCCTGCCTGGAATGCTCCTTCTACCCCTCCCTCACCAGGCTCCTCCTGACTCAGGTTCCTCCCAGGCGCCTCCCTGAGTCCCTCTGACTATCTTCTCCACTGGTCTGTGAGCTGCCCTTGGGGGTCCTTGAGGGCAGGGATAGGGATGATGGTTTATCAATGCCTGCTTCATCAACACCCAGCTCCATCTATATGATGCTAAACGGGGCTGCCTGGGTAGGAGGAGGTGGGGTGGGCCATAGTTTGAAATGGGCCTCAGATGATGATGCAGTCTTTGCTGAGAAGATAGTTTCTCCATTGGGTTTTGAAGGATGAGTAGGAGTTTGCAGATAGAGCACCCAGGCATCTTCTGTCACTTCCTTGGGACCCCACCCTCACTCCCAGCTCTGTAACTCTGGCCCTTCCTTCTCTACCTAGGCGCATAAAGTTGTCACTTCTCTTGCCTCTTCCATAAAGAGGAAAACTGCATAAACAGTGTTTTAAAGCCCCCCTTCAAATATGGAACAAGACTCTAAATGACAAAAAATAGAGCGGACTCAGTGGTGGGAGAGAGACTGGTAGAGCCCCTGAGACTAGGGCCCAGGGTCCCCCTTCAGGCCTGGAACTGGACTCACCTCAGGGCTCAATTTCCAGACAAACAGCAGACAGGTCTACAAGGGGAACAGTAACACTGGGGAGGTACGCACACCTGAGAACCACCAACCATGTGAGGCCAAAAGGGCAGTGTTTACCCCAGGACAGTGTTTAGAAGGAGTGGACAGAAGGAATGACACCGAAACACAGGGAGGAAGGGGGTGAGTGAAATCACACTGGGTGGGTGGGGGGGGGGTGACAGTCATGAGATGAAACAAACTGGGAATTGTAAACCTGCACTCACTTCACAATGAAGCATTAAAACAAACGAAAGCAAACCCTTTGTCCATCGGGCCTCCCGCTCTCGTCTGGACCCGGTCTCCTCACCAGCTCTGTACTTTGAGAGTTGCCTGAAATCGCAGCCCCCAACGTTCTCACCTCCGAGTTGCTCTTATCCCTCTGCGTCTAGTGGCCAGTGGCCCCTTCCTGGTGTGATCTGACTGGCAAGTGCCTTACTGACCACCCTCTTCTCCTAAAAGCTCTCCCACCCTGACTCCCAGGGCACCCTGGTGCCGGCCAGACACATCTGTAAGCTCTCCTCCTTTGTCTGTCCTATGGGGTGGCTGTCTATGCTTTAGGGTGGCTGTTTGTAGTGTGGGGTGACTGTCTGACTATGGGGTGACTGTCTGTCCTATGGAGTGGTTGTCTGTAGTATTGGGTGGATGTCTGCACTGAGAACCCTGTGGGCACAGTTCTAGTCTGACACACACGGGGCACCATGAGTGGGATCTACTTATGAAAAATTATCCACTGAGAGCCCTGTGGGGCACAGTTCTACTCTGACACACACGGGGCATTATGAGTTGGGGGTATCTCATTTTCCCATCCTGATTTGGGAGGTAGCTCTCAAATACTCTTCATCACAAACATTCCTGCTACATTCTGTAACCCCCCTGTCCCCAGACAGAACACACACTGGACACCCTAGGACCCCAGACAGGACACTCACAGACACCCCACAACCCCAGACAGAACACTCTAGACACTGCATACCCCCAAACAGGACACACATGGGATGCCTGTGTCCCCAGACAAAGCACACACTGGACACCCTATGACCCCAGACAGGAGACATGCTAAGCACACAGCTGTAAATACTTTCACCAGTATTTTATTTTCCAGGCTTCCTTGGGACCGGCCAGCACGCGGCATTGGGGGCAGACGGGGGTTTCTAGAGGCTCAGGCTCATCTTCTGACAAAGGAAGCAGACTGGTAGCGGAGAACCCCGTGGCTCGCTGGGCTGACAGGCTGGTCAGGGCGAATGTGTTCTGGGGCAGAGGGCGCCAAGGGCACTGACTGCAGACACACGCAGAGCTGACCGGGAAGCAGACGGGTGGCATGAGGTAAGATGTAACCGACCTCTCAGCGCACCCTACAAACACTTCTGGAACAGGCACGTATTGTGACCCCCCACCCAGCTACAGATGCAGGCAGTAGTGGCTCAGTGGGAGGATTCCCGCCAGGGCACCTCTTGTCCAACCACCGCCCTCCTGTCCGTGGAGTCCTGCACACTCCTGCAACGCTGGACAGGTCTCAGCAGAGCTTCCAGACCAAGAAAGACTAGGAAGTAAGGCCTGGCAACTAACTTCCCAAAACCAGCCGATAGCAGCCCCGCGGATGGAGCCAGACCAGCGGCACGTAGTGCCATTGTGCACGGGCTTATTGTGAGGGTCGACTCACCGGCAGTGAACAACAACAAAAAAAACAAACAAACGTGTGGCGGTAACATTCCCGGACAGACTCGCGCCTGGGAGTGAGCGAGATGACGTCACATCTCGCGTTTGGTGTGAGCGAGATGACGTCACAAGGAGGTGTGGGGACGAGGACGTCCCATATTCCACAGCTCTGCCATGTGAGGCCCCAAATAGCCTCACTGCCCCACCCCACGTGTCCCACAAGCAGCAGTACGTGGACGGCAGCCTGGGGGATGCGGAATGAGGAGCCAGGACAATGACGGGCCAGGGGCCAGTCTCCAAGGACAGAAGGAAGCCACACAGGCGGACAGGCGGCGAGGGAAGGCTGGAGGCACTCGGTTACATGAAACTCTTCATCTATGTCATCTCCGTGTACGCTGGCTCTAGTTCTTAACAAAATAAACCTTTTTTTGTGTGACTTTAGAGATATGATTGAGGCAGATGGGGGGGGGGGATTCTGGAGGAAAGGCTGGGGGCATTGGATGGGCACTGGAGGGAGGGCGCTGTTGGCGAAATTTCACCCCGAAAATAAGACCAAAGTGTGCTGGCTCACTCCAAGCTTGGTGCGCTGGGCCCGCAGGTGTCTCAGTGGGTGGGGGCAAGTGAATGCCTGGGAGACATGTGCCCACCCACTGTGACAGGGTCCTGAAATCTCAAGTCCCGGTCACCCTCCTGCACGCTGGGCACTGCAGGGCCGGGGAGGTGGCGGTAGCCTGCCCATCCCCTGAGCAGCTGTGAGGGAAGCCGACTTGGTGTCAGCTAAAGTGGAAAGAGCGGTGCTCAGTAACCCATCTGGGTCCCACGCTACGGGTAGCCACTGGCAGACACGGGGCTCCCCAAAGCTCCCTCCTCCACCCCACTCAGCCCCCCCCCCAGGTGCCAGGCGTCCACCCCCATGGACACAGAAGCAAGAGGAAAAGTGCAGTAGGGGGGTTAGTGTGGCTCTGCAGGGCGTGGCTCCTCCCTGCAGTAGTGCGCACGCATGTTGGGGTGTGTTGGCCACAGTCAGAAGAGCAGGGCCTTCTTCCTGAGGTCATTCCTCTTCCATAGGGCCAGGCGGTCAAACTCCTCCATGCTCATCCCGAACACCTCCTGGAACTCCTCCGGTGACAGGTGTCTCTTCAGAGAGAGAAGAAATGCCAGAGGGCCAGTGAGAAGCTTAGATGGGGAGGAGAGATCAGAAGGTCAGCGAGTGGCTTAGTTGGCGATGCAAACAGTGGGCCAGACCCAGAGAGAAACCAGACCATGCTCGGACACGGAGAGCCCTGGCTGGACATACCAAGTGTGGCATCAGTGAGGTCACTGTGGGAAACACAGTGGACGCTCCTCAGTAATCTGAACACAGGGTCATTGCGCAACCTAGCAAGCTCACTCCAGGTGTACCTCAGCAAATGAACAACATGGGCTCAAATTAAACAAGTAGATACATATTCTCTGAAGCACTGTTCATGGTAGTGAAAAGGTGGACACACCAAGTGTCCACCCACAGAGGATGGAGACACACAGTGTGGTCCATGCACACAGTGGACTATCACTCAGTCATAAGGAGAAACAACCTGAGTGTCCACCCACAGATGCTGGAGACACACAGTGTGGTCCATGCACACAATGGATTATCACTCAGTCATAAAGAGAAACAGCCCAGTGTCCACCCACAGATGCTGGAGACACACAGTGTGGTCCATGCACACAATGGGCTATCACTCAGTCATAAAGAGAAACAGCCCAGTGTCCACCCACAGAGGATGGAGACACACAGTGTGGTCCGTGCACACAATGGAATATCACTCAGTCATAGAGAGAAACAGCCCCCGTGTCCACCCACAGAGGATGGAGACACACAGTGTGGTCCATGCACACAAAGGAATATCACTCAGTCATAAAGAGAAACAGTCCAGTGTCCACCCACAGAGGACGGAGACACACAGTGTGGTGTATCCATACAATGGAATATCACTCAGTCATAAAGAGAAA